TAACTTAGTCTCATTTTATTGTTATCATGTCTTATTTGTTGACATTAGTTTGCAAAATTATGTCCTGGACATAATTAATATTTTTATTTTTGTCATCGACATATGCAATTACGAATTATTCTTTTATGTAGTAATGAAATTTGCTACTTGAATATGTACATACTTTTATTTCTTTGTACTATATATACTTCCTCCGTTCTTTTTTAATTGCAACGGTCCACTATTCACGCTTGTCAACGCACAAGTTTCAGCGTTAATATCTTTCCTAAAATGAGAAGAATTTAATAATATTTTTTAAATATTTAATTCGTAATACATTAATAAAAATGAACTATAGTCAAAGTAGAACGTATGAATAGTGCAAAAAGTACGTCCTACGTTGCAATTAAAAGAGAACATAGATAGAATGTTATTTTGTGAAGCATATAATTAAAATGTTCAAAATAATACTCCGTTTTTTTGTCCGAAATTTTGTCACATATACCGTATTATACACGTATACGTATTTACACATTTTTTATAAGTCAATGTTTTAATTTTCAACGAATTTTTGACGTTTTTCATTACTGTTACAGAATATTACGCGTACGTATTAAACCTCGTTTAATTCCCGCACCGCATTTAACTAACTACGCTTTAAATACAGGAAAGATACAAATTGGTTACGAAGTACAGAGTATAAAATAAAAGATCACCTTACATTAGGTACATATATGTCATGTACTACTATACTAGAGAATGAAATGTTCTATTTCTAATATATTTTAGAAGTAATTAGATGTTTATGATTAAAATAAAGATCATTTATAGAATGTAACGAGTGATTAGAGTAATAATAGAATTATACTACATCATTCCAATTTTATGTGTCTCATTTGACTTTGACGCAATTATTTATAAATTAAAGTGATTGAAAATATTAAAGTTATGTTTGAGATTTGAGTATAATAAAGTGAAATGTTGTAGACCACATATTTCTTTTCAAAAAGAAAATGTGACATTTATTTTAAAACAATCTAAAAAGGAAAGTTAAGACATATAAAATACTCGTATAAACGATAGAGTAGTAATTTATGTTCAATTTTTAAATTTAAGTTACCATGATACAAGGTAGTAACTATTAGTCAAATTTGTGTAAATAAATTTTACTTTATTAATATTATTAACATTTTGCAACTTATTTTAATAATATTATTGAAATAAACCTTTTACTTTTTTGGAAAAAATAAACCTTTTATGTTAACATAAAGGATATGTTTCAAATAACATGTGACTAAAATAAAGATTATTTAAAAATGTGATTAGTGACTAGAGTAGTAATGCAATTATAAAATTTATTCTCAATTTTAAACTAAAAAAATTTGATTAGTTACTAGAATTTTCTGATTTGATCTGATCTGATCTGGTCTAATAAATGTAATGTCCTTGTGTATTTCATAATTGTCCAAGTCTGGTCTAGTTTGATGTGATCTGTACTGGGATTGAAAACAATTCAAGTAAAACATGCTAAGTTGACATGACGGTACATTGTAGTTTCTATTAATCATAACTGTGTAAATAAATTTTATTTTTGTAATATTTTAAAATGACTATAATATATTGACTGAAATGGCTATTGAATATAAAATTACTATAAAAGATATAAAAGATATGAAGTATTAAATTGTTATATGTGTTACTAGTTTTCTTAAAATTGCTGATTAAAATTGTGATGCATCCATTCTTCGCCAAAACACACATCCATAGGACTAAAAATGTTTGAAAATTCCAAAATAGGACTACCATGTTTTTATTCCTAAAATAGGACTAATTATTATCATGTTTTGGCAGTACCTGACTTCAAACATGGCAGTATTTTTCAAACTTAGCAGTAATTACTCCTATTTTGGGAATAAAAAACATGATAGTCCTATTTTGGAATTTTCAAACTGTTTTAGTCCTATTTCGGGAACTTTCCCTTTTTTTATGCATAAAATTACGTATATGATTTTTTTTGTTTATATGTTTTAAATTGATCTGACTTTTTAAAGCTCTTGGTTACGGGTTGTAGAAATTTGGTTAAATTTATACGAAGTACAAGACGGAAAATCAAATCATATGAATGCCATTTGAGAGGAAATATTATGATATATATAATGATTCAAAGCCAAATCTAATAGAGATTATGCATAAGAACATAGACTAACAGAGACTACAAGGCTTGAGAGGCAATCTGAAATCGAGTTTTCCTCAGATACGAAGCCAAAGCAAGTGAGCAAGCCAGTTATCAGGTGAAGGGCTTGGAATAATCTTTGGGAGATTTCAACAAGTAGGACTTAAACATACTAATTTTTCAAAATTAAGACTATAGATTACCTTAAGACTTAAGTACACCTGCTTTGACCAAATTACTCTTGCTTTTAAGATCCTAAGGGGAGAGGCGAACTGCGAATCAACTAAGTGCGAAGGCCAAAGGGGCAAACTTGCAAACGGACTACAATCGAGAATATTTCTACCGACGGACTAAGCATCGCTCAAGACGGCGGTCTGTTTGGACTGACAACGTCGGGTCTGCTGCTCCCAGTGGCTGATCTACTTTAGTGCAAAAGTGTTCGCATGAACACCTAGATTTTTGAAAAAAGTGTTAGTATACATGTATAATTTTAGTTTAAATTAGTTATTGTCTTTTCAAATTTTAATTTTTGAACAAATGAACACCCGAAATTTAAATGAGAGATCCGCCGCTGGCTGCTCCCCCCTGTTACGGCAGAAATCGTTCTTGACGCCGAAGGGAAACCTTAAATGGACACCACGAAGTTGGCGGGAGACTCCTTCTGCTCGCGAGCGGTGCTGGGAAGTCTTCCGCAGTAGCGAGCGTATGCTGAGATTGCAGCGCCCAGACTACTCTTCTCAGGGCGGCGATCAAAATCCGTCCATTCTCAGTTGACTCGCGAAGCAGGAGACCCCCTCTATGGAAGGAGACCAGAACAAGTTTGGTTATTCTCATTTGTCTGCCTATAATCATTCACACTGTGATTCCCAGGGAAGTATTAACATTGAGAGCAAGCAATTTTCGTTCAATGTAAGTGACACTTCAATCTGCATTACCCAAAGCAAACAGGGTCTGGTTTTATGCTATCAATTTTGATTTAGAGGGTGCCATTTGGTTAAACAAATCTCTGTCAAAGCTTTGGTCCGGGAAATCCCTTTCCAAATTTGTCAAACTAGCAAATACTAGACAATACATAGACAGTAATTAGTTAGTAAACAAACAATAAGTTCTAATAATAGCTCAATAGCAGACAATACGTAAACAGTAAGTAGTCATTAAACAGACAATAAGTTCTTATAATAGCTCAATAACAGAGCAGGTTCTGTAAAACAATATATACACAATTTATTATATCTAATGACGAAATCACATCGACAGGTTGTCGAAAACTCCACAATGAAGCAACATGGGTAATCTAGCATCCTATCTAGCATCCTTTATAAAAAGCGGAAGTTAGAAGCGGAAGTTATTTTAACTTCATAAAAAGATGAAGGGCAAATTCGGAAGGTTGCAAATAAGTTTCCTGTTGTAGAACTAAATATGTTATATAGATGGAAAAAAACATCAGGAAGTTCTATTTTTGTAAAAGATCTATGATTTGGTCCTACTGGGAGCAAATTTCTCATAATCGTTCGATACAGGCCATCAGTGAGCTAAGACAGTCTTCCGTTGATCTCAGCATGGGGTAAAGGCTCTTTGCAATTGTTAAAGGTAGAATAATAAATATGACTAATGAGCCCCAAAAGTATCCAAACACTTCCTTTTCAGTTGATAAGAAAAAGTAACCCAAGTAGCCAATTTCGTTCGTGTTTGGCTATTTTTTGCCCTTTCAAGCTTATAAGCCTATTTTTGGTGCTCCAAACGGCCCCTTAATGCGTCAACTCACTCTTGATATATAAATTAAGTGTTTTTTTCAAAAATATAACTAAATTAAAACTTGCGTACACAACTATGACTAATAGTTACTATAATGTAATGTCATGATTACTTACGTTTAAAAGTTAAACATAAGTTACTCTAATTTAATTACTACTTTAATAATTAGTCATATTTTTATAAACAATATTTATTTTAATCATAAATGTTTAATAATTTCATATATTTTTGTAAACATATTTTTGTAAATGTTTAATTTCTATGTAATAGTCTTTTGTAATACGGAGTATAAAAATGCACCAACAATCTGTTTTATAAATAAGATAAAATTTCACTAATATTACTAGAGTTATGGATAAAAATGTGAGTTGGTAACTTTTAGTTACTATAATTATGATCAAAGCCACCATGATGTTAACTTTGAACACAGTTATAATAACTATAAGTTGCCAAGTCAAATTTTTCTTCATGACTTTTGTATTAGTAATATTTTAGGAAAAAACTCTATAAATAATCATGCACGCAATACAATAGAAGCACAGATTAAATTGTCGATTAAAAAATTTGTTACAATTTCTACATGATATAGAGATCTCAACAATTTTATTTAAATGTTTAACCCTACCTTTAAGTATTTTTTGTCATATATTTTGTTCTTTGTTTGATTTATAAATGTATTTTTAATAAAACATTTTCATAATTCAACAAACTCAATGAACTCAACCGCCGATTCATTCAAAAACTTTATCAATTTCGACAAAATCAATCAATTCAGTGTTATCAAACAAGTTCTAAGGCTCATAATTTTATATGGACTAAATTTCTTTTAAAAATGAGAAATTGAGAATCAACCTATAAATGCACCATGGATTTACGAGATACTAGCTATGTTGCTCGGACACGGATACGCCAATACGCCGAAACGCGAATACGATCACGACGATAATGAAAATTTACAAAGGATACGCATCGGGGCATCGTTGAATACGTAGATACGACATCGTTGACCAAAGAATCATTCTCAAAGATTTACTCCGTACTACCTAACATTTTAAAAACAAATTTAAAAACATTTTACTTCATCTGTGATCTGTGCACGCCTGCAGCAGCCAAGTCCCCTCGCACACTTCTCGGTGCCTCCCACACCACTCGATACATTAGACCGTTGGTGACTTTCCAATTTAAACTCTCCATTTCCATTTTACAGCCTCACCTTTCCGAGAAGGAGCACAGTGAAGAACAAATATGGCCGCAGCGGATGGAATCGTAAATGATTCACAAATTCAATCTGTTCAGAAGAAGGAATGTGAATATGAACTGTTGAGGGAAGAGAGAATAAAGGAAAATCAGGAAAAAATCAAAAAACTAGGTTTAGTTAGCCTCTCCCTCAGATTCAAGTCGGTTAAGCCCCATAAATCTCCCAAAACTCCTAAGCCTATTTCCCCTGTACCCTCTTCTCAACCCCCTCGTCGCTCTCTAAGGTTCTCTCTGAAACAGAAAATTTTCTGTTCCAGTACTATATTAGTTCATCTGTCTGGTAATTTGTGATTCCAGTTTTGTTGTCGAGTTCATATTTGTTTTTACTGTAATTTCAGGCTGCAAAATGTCACACCCACCAACTACACTGAAACATCATTGGCAAAGAAAGCGAAATGGTCAGAGTTGGAAGATGATTTGATTGGATCTAAAGAAGAAGTGTATACGGAAGAACACGAGAAATTGCTTGGCAGCACCGAATTGGATTGGACTCTATTTGTGGATGGATATGGAACTGATGGGAAGCGGATTTATGATCCAACCGAAGGGAAAACCTGTCATCAGTGCCGGTATTTTCTAATCTCTCTAAACGTATTTCTGAAACAAAGTTAAGTACCCCTCTGTATAACTTTAGTTTTGGGACTCAACTGGGAATTTCAGTGTTTAAACTTATCAAAATGTCACTTCATTCTATATCCTGCAATGAATATACGATACGGAGTAACATTTATTTATTTTTGTTTGTGGCCTGATTTTGAACTTTGTTCGAATATATTTTTAAAATGTTACATTTTCATCTGTTGGGCTTATTTTTCTCGTAGATGCACTTCTATTAGAGGAGAAATGTACTAATTTGAAAATAAATTTAAAAGTGCTTCTGTTTAGAATTCTTTTCTCTGCGCAGAAACTTGGGGTGGATAAGTGGTACGGTAAATACTTGGAGCATCTCCATACCATAATATCTCATTTATGTATTATATCCATACCATAAATATCCAACAAAATTTACCAATTTGGCTCGTGATAAACTGATAATTTATTCTTCACATGAATGCGCATTTTTTCCGCTTCACTTATATCTGTCACATTCTGTTTATGGCGTGTAACAGGCAGAAAACTCTCGGTCTTCGTACTAATTGCAGCAAATGCAAAATGTTGCATGGACAGTTTTGTGGAGATTGTTTGTATATGAGGTACAACAAGCTTGAATCATACTACATACTCCATATTAAATACTCCGTAGATGGTTATTTACTTAAAGAATAAAATGTTACTCTGTAATTTATTTGAATGTATTTGGAAAAATATAAAAACTCATAGATATAGAGCTTGAACTACTCTGCTACTCTTATCTGTCATGATGCAACTCCAAGTCATCACATAGTATGAGTTCATTTTATTTCCATTGAATGATCTAAGAATTTGTGGGATTCAACATTTATATTAATGCATACATATGTGGAATTGTATCCATACAGATACGGAGAGCACGTGCTTGAGGCAAATGAGAACGTGAATTGGATTTGCCCCGTCTGTCGTGGAATATGCAACTGCAGTTTCTGTCGACAAGCAAAGGGGTTTCCTCCCACAGGCCCTCTCTACAGGAAGGTATGAAATCCAAATGTGCTCCTCTTACATTTCATATAATTGTTGGTCTAATTTTATTTTTTGTCCCAAATATTAGATCAAGAAATTGGGTTACAAGTCGGTTGCACATTATCTCATACAAACACGAAGACAGAAGATAGCCCCTGAGAATGATTTGCCTGTGAAGACAAAAGAGAAAGAAGAGAAAGAAGATAAAGAGGCATGTTAGCACCAATTGTAATGCTAATAGTGTGTCACTGACTTGGCCCCAATCCACCTCCACTAAAACTGCCTAGCTTGTATGAAATGAATGCTAATTTTGTTCAGTTGGAAGCAGTACTCTTTCATTAGTAATCTCAAATCTATGATCCGTATTAGTTTGTAACCTACAATATTATGTATCATAAGATCATTAGATTTTTGTTGGATCATGGACCATTAAATTATTCTTTCGTGGCAAATTTTTATTTTTCATGGTGTTGTATCTGGAAGACACTTGATGACTTGGACGATTAGCTAGAAAACATGCAATTTCTGTTTAACCCGCAAAATACAACTAGGTTTTTTAATTAGCAATTTAGCACGGTAGCATTGCCATTACAATCGCATGAGTATTGAAAGGCATGTATGATAGTGTATACTTCGATAGTTTTTTCTATTGATGCTTGTGCATTACGAGGGACTCATCAAGTATTAGTCAACTTGGTTTAGTCAAAAGAGCTGAAAGAATTTAATGATTTCATAAATGTATAGATTTTTGGGAAAATGGAAACTAATAATCCAACCTTTTAGCGGTCATCTTACAATAATCCAACCTTTTGGTTATTCATGAATAATCCAACCTTTGCACCTCATCTTCATTCACCGGTCCCTAACCGGTTGATGACTTACTATTCCAAGCTATTTTCTTATCTTTGCAAATCATTATACCATAAATCTCATCTTTCACAGAGATAATATTTTGCAAAGATAAGAAAATAACTTGGAATAGTATGTCATTAACCGACCAGGGACCAATGAATGAAGATGATGTGCAAAGGTTGGATTATTCATGAATAATCAAAAGGTGGGATTATTGAAAGAAGACCGCTAAAAGGTTGGATTATTAGTTTCCATTTTTCCTAGATTTTTTGGTTGGAGCTATGGAAGCATGGGGGACAAGGCGACAAGTGCCCCGCTAAGGGCCAAAAAATAGTAAACTCTCTCCGGAAACGTGTCTTTAGGAAACGGGAACTTCTTCTTGTAGTCACTTTTATACCCACCTTATATCCATCATGTTTATAAGAATTTTTTTTGTCTGTGACCGAGATTCACAGACAAAAATAACTCCTCACGGACATAGTGTGTACAAAAGTGGGTATAAGAGTGAGTTATGATGAACAGAAAAGTATTGAGATTGATGAATACGTTGTCTCGTTTCTTGCAACAAAAAGTTCACAACATTCTCGAAACTTTGTTGGATTCCCTTTTTAATGGAGAAACTCATGAGAATTTTAGAATATTGCAAAGATTAGATGTGGGTAGAGAAGTACTGAATGTTCTAGAAATAATGTGGAGTTTTCAAGAGAAGTGCGGAACTCAATAAAACTGTGTGGAAGTGTGGGGAAGTCTCAAAATGTTTTGAAGAATTGTGAAGTTCTCTAGCTCCTTCGAGATGATTAGCGAAGCTTGTAGATACTTTTTAGAAGAATCTAGAAGTGTAATGGTGTATAAAAAGTTATAGAAAAGTTTTGATTAGATTAGTATAGATAGGGATGAGAAGAGGGGAACTCTTAAGTCTTAAGTGAGTGAACGTGAGAGCCTTCTTGTGAGAGTGATCTAGTGTATCAAAGATATTTCTTGATGAGTGTAAGCTTGTGAAGAGCACTCTTGAGCGTGAGATGAGACAACCCAAGAAGGTTTCTCATAAGTGTAAGCCATCAATCTAACTAGTTGAAGTAGTTTCATATACAAAGAGTGAAATGAGATACCCGTTTAATTGTAAAATATTTCTTTTACATTTCAAAGTGAAATTGTCATATCGAGTCTTTGGATATTGGAGGGGGGGGGGATTGGTTTTCGAGGAAGGGGTTCATGGCGGGGCAGGCAACGAACGAGAGGTTTTTCCAGTCGTAGGCACAATCATCACCGACAGGAAGGTAAAATTCCAGATTTTCAGAGAGCTTACGGCTTCAATATGATGACCTAGAAGAGGAGTCTCGATTAAGGAAATTGGGGGACATAATGCATTTGTGCACTTTTATCACATAATTGATATGCAACGTGTCTTAGAGAATGGCCCGTGATTATTTGAACAAAATCTGTTGATTCTTAGGGCTGTTAGGTCAGGGATATACCTCTAAAGATTCCTAAAAATGTGACAAAATTATGAGTTCTTAAGCACTGAATGTTACATATGGCTTATGGCTATATGACTTTAGAGGTGGCTAAGAGGATAAGTAACTTTATTGTAAAGTTCATCAATTTTGATGAAAGACAATTTGAAGGAACATGATATGCTTATATGAGAATTAGAATCTATATGGATGTAGAAAAATCCCTAAAGATTGAAATAACACTTAGAAAAGGGCAAGGGGTTGGATACTGGGGTAGATTTTAAATATAAAAAAGTGTCTAGTTTTTGTTTTGTGGGTGGAGTTATTGGCAAAGCAAATAGTTTTTGTCCATTGGCGTATGCGAGAGGAGATAAAGTGTTGGAGAAATCTTTTGGAGTGTGACTTCGAGCGGCGGGGGGGGGGGGGGGGGGGGGGATCCTGCCCTACAGTTGGTAACAACTAACAAGTGTTTGGTTCAAGAGGGGTCTTCATCGGCAAGTATGAGTAAAACACAACGAGGATACAAGTAGAAAGGGGAGAGAGGGTTGAGGAGCCAGGGAGACATGTTTGGATAATAATAGTAGCGGAATCCGAGAAGGATATGACAAGTGAGGCAAGATCAGTTAGTATGAGGGAGGTTCTTGAGGATCATAAGAGAAGACGGTTGTGGGAGGAACATGAGCAAGTGAATCCGAGTAAAGATGGCATGGCTCTGGATGAGCCAAAAAACACGGAGGAGGGTCTTGGTTACCATACCAATTGGGGTTTCTGAGAAAGTTTTATGCCAAAGAAGGACAACTGGAGTTTCTCGTAGTTCTAGGAAGCGGCTAAAATCCAATAACTATAATCTTGTTTTTATTTTTTGAATTGGTCTGACTATTCTTGTTACTGTTTTTTGTTGTGTCACACTCTAGAGTTTGGATTAGGTGATGAGAGATATGATTTTGACCGTCTTTGACTCAGTTAAGCCCACTAGAGGATCAACGAATCATATTGTTTTTTGAAATACGGTTGATTCTAAGTCTCGTTCGAGGGCTGGCGGTGGGAGTGAAATTTTCATCTTTATGTTTCTTTTCTGAATTCTGTTATATCAATATAAACCACCTTAAAAAAAATAATAGATAAATTGAATTTCAATTTGGACGACCGGATCTTGGACCGATACTTGTCCTACTTAATTTATGACATCATATTACATTATGGTTTCAAGACACACTCCTATTTATGAAAAAACATGAATCATTTGTTGTGAAACCAATTTTTTTAGGTGGAAAATTCTTAAATACCCCCTTAATATTTTTTTTGATCATCAAAACAGACCTCTATTCATATCAAAAGATTCAGGATCATTACATCAAGCAAAGGGAAAATAAAACTGAAATTAACTCAAACTCCCTTAATATTGAAATACTACGTACATAAATATGACCTTTAGATTTTAAGAACAGAAAAATATAATAGTTGTTTCGTTTTTGAATGGCATCTAAAATGTCATTATTTAAACTATGATTAAAACATAACATTCTTCCGAAAATAGAATTATGTGTTTGATTTTTCATAAAAATGACGAACATTACATTTTTGTCCCTTATACCCTTGATTTAATTAATTAATATAATTAATTCTCCCCTACTCCTCTTATATAACAGAGATCACTCTGTTGGCAACAGATGAGTCTGGTAGCGGCGTCGATTAGGGAAGAAATTTCGGCAAGATGGCAAGGCAATTATCTGGCGACATGGGGCTTGTGACAATAGCTCCCGCCCTGTTAGATTTTTTTGTTCAATTATTTATAGAGGTAAGAGTTAGATAAGTCCTTATATAGGAGGCTCTGTCCAACCGTTGCCATTTGGGGCGGTTCCTGGTGGAATTTTTTGACGAAATTATTTGAGTATCTTATTCATTAAGTCTAGTTTACTCATACCAAATTTCAATTAAAAATTCAACCGGGAAGACATTCAAATGAATTCTTGAAGATAATTGCGCTGTTAAAAACGCAGTTATCTTCAAGAATTCATTTGAATGCCTTTCCGATTGAAGTTTTACCTGAAATTTGATATGAGTAAACTAGACTTAATGAATAAGATGCTCAAAAAATTTTATAAAAAAATTCCACCGGGAACCGTCTCAAATGGCGACGGCCGGACAATAAGGACTTATTTGACCCTTTTTATACAACTTTGAGTACCAATCTGACCCTTACCTCATTATTTATACCATTTTATACCAATTGATACCAATTCTATTTGGATTTATACCAATTGTCTGCCTAAATCAATTACTAGCTTTCAAGCCCGTGCGATGCACGAGCAGTATGTAATTTAGCTAATTTGAAATTTGATTTCTTTCGGATCATATGTAATGTGATTTAAAATAAAAATAAACTTAGTCTAATATAGAGCCTGTTTGATAATACTAAAATAAATTGAATTAACTTATTTTATTGAAATTGATGAAATTGTGACTGAATGGGCTGAATAGGTGGAATCTCCCCAATCATGAAAAAAATATGTAAAATATATTCCATTTGTGAAACCAGGAAAAGATTATATGAAAAATAGTTAAATTGATCTTCTACATAAGCATCTCGAGTAAATATAATTGTTATGAACCCGATTTTAAACATTTAATATAATCTTATGAAGATGGATATTCATAGAAATTTAATATATATATGAAGTAAAATAGTCTAAATATAGAGCCTGTTTTAAACGTATACTATAACATTTAATTTAATTATTATAATGGAATTAAAACGTATAATTCTAACACATATAATTCTAAGCCTAAACGTATACTACAACATTTAATTGTTATAGAAATTTAAACGTATTTTTGGCTAAGAATACCTATCATATATAAACTTAGTCTAATATAGAGCCTGTTTAATATAAAACTTTCTACGGATTCCCCCCCCCCATATCAATATGCAATCAAAAATAGAATCTAGCTAATAAAAATAGAAGGTATAAAAATAACTAAATAATTAATATATATATATATATATATATAGATTTTGGTTCAAGTGAGAAATGCATCTAATGTGAGAAATGAGAATGAATCTCAGCCATTAGATTCGTGAAGTTGCACTAAAATGATTTGATGTGGCAGTGATATTTAAATTTTGCACATGTTGCACTGAAACTGTTTCATGTTGCACTAATATTTGACGGCGTTGCACCGAAATAGCTTCATGTTGCACTAGACATGTCTAATACGGATTTTTCAGAAGTATTTACAGAAATGCCACCGTGCTAGATTGCATATTTGAGTGCATCATCAAGTGTCTTTTACTGCAACTTAGTCGAATCCAATGGCTGAGATTCATTCTCATTTCTCACCTAAAGAGTTCTTCTCACTTGAACCTTACCCTATATATATATATATATAGATTTTGGTTCAAGTGAGAAATGCATCTAATGTGAGAAATGAGAATGAATCTCAGCCATTAGATTCGCGAAGTTGCACTAAAATAATTTGATGTTGCAGTGATATTTAAATTTTGCACATGTTGCACTAAAACTGTTTCATGTTGCACTAATATTTGACGGCGTTGCACCAAAATAGCTTCATGTTGCACTAGACACGTCTAATACGGATTTTTCAGAAGTATTTACAGAAATGCCACCGTGCTAGATTGCATATTTCAGTGCATCATCAAGTGTCTTTTACTGCAACTTAGTCATATCCAATGGTTGAGATTCATTCTCATTTCTCACCTAAAGGGTTCTTCTCACTTGAACCTTACCCTATATATATATATATATATATATATATATATAATGACATGACAAGATTATGTGGCACTTTGTATGCTCTTAAAAAGTTGCTCTGATTTATACCATTAAACTATGAGGGCATAGTTTTCAATGATGACATCGTTTTGATTGTAGTTGGGTACATCTCCCTTAATTCTTTTGTTTGGCTATTTTTATTTGTTGTTCATTATTTTATTTTATTTCTTATCTTAAAAAGAATAAGGATCGTGGAATACTAAAAAAACAAGGACAAAAAAGGTATGAATCTAAATTCGTCCTGAATCGCACAAGATATACTCCGTACCTTTCATCTAAAAGGTGTCCAGAAGTCCAACACTCCAAATAAGCCATCCTCCACTTCGACGCCTCCTTCACCGTTTCAATGACAACTTTTCTTTAATTAATCTGACCAGGTCGGAAGAAAATCTGCCATTCTCCTTAAACCCCCCCGGAAACGTTCTAGTGTTTCCAACGGGCAACGGAATTACACCCGGTAAACCTGTCGGTCCTTTCACTCATCGTCTTCAGGCTTCAGCATTGCGACCTTACAGTTCAATCGCTCAGCGTCTTCGAGCTTCAGGCTGCAGTTCAATCGCTCCAGGAGCTCAGGTAATTAGCGATTAATCGATTATTTGGTACCCATTTCTTTTGATTTCTTTTGTATTTTGTACGGAGCATGGCTATCTGGTATATCTTTTGATGTTTTGGTATTATTATTGGATTGATTATCACTTACGGATTTGTCAATTTATTTGTTTAAACTTTAAATTGTTTTTCATTGTAAGTAACTGAGTATTAATTAAGTGATATAGGCAGTGATGAGACCCATTTCTTTATTACAGAGTACTAGGTATTTGTTATTAGTATGGTTCAACAAGGCCTATCTTTTAGTATTTCAAGAATTCAAATAATGTAGTCCTATATTTTATTTAATGTTATTTTTTGTTTCTTTACGTTTTTTCATTAGTCAGTTGTCCAAACTGCTATTATTTGATTCATTAATCTTTTTTTAGTATTTCAAGAATTCAAATAATGTATAACATGATAACAATCTTAAATATTAGTTTGAATTTGTAAATACATTTTTCATGGTTAATACATCTCTTTCAGTTACTTTGAATGGAGGAGAGTGCTAGTAATATAAGTAGTTCTTTGTGGCCGTCTGCAAAATTGGTGATCTGGGTGGCAATGTTTTATGGATATGCAACTTTTGTGGCCATTTTGTTATCAGTATTGTGTCCTTTGTGGCTATATTTTTTAAAAATGCTGTTCCCTGTTTCCGTGCAGTATTTATCTATTATATATTCTGACTCTGTATAGAAAAATCTCACCTCCACCCTTACCCAGAAGCCTTCCATTACCAGGTGAGCTCCCACAACCCTTTTTATCTTTCCATCAAGCATCTCCACTGATGCATCAGGAAGCTAGTTTTTTTGTTCAATTTTTCTCCCCTCTCTAGTAGTATCTGTTTTGTTCTAAAAAGTTTTTATTTCGTTTATATCTTTTGATACTTGTTTAAATTATCTAGCTGTATTTGATCAGGTTTATATAATGTAGTAAATTTTATGAAGTAATTATATACTAACTCTTATAATGTTTATTTATCACGTTTTTCTGAATAAAGGATGTTTTGAAATCAATTAAATATTTAGATGTATTATATTGAATAGTTGAATGAGGGACTAATGAGGTTAAAGTTTTTTGAACATGAAATAGGATAAGCTTTAAACAGTTTTAGCCTTGAACTCAAATTACTGGATATTTGAATATGTGATTCAGTTAGCTAGACTGGATGCCCAACAATCACTATAAGTAAAAGTATAAAGTTCATCTTTTTGTAGGGCAAAAAAAGGAATGGCAGGTAAAAGTGAAGTGATAGAACACAAGGCGTACGCAAGAGTTGGTTTTTTAGGAAACCCAAGCGATGTGTATTACGGGAATACCATCTCCTTCAGCCTTGGCAATTTCTGGGCTTCTGTGCAACTCGAGCCTTCGCCGGAGTTGCTCATCTCCCCTCATCCCACTCACGATCTCGTCCAGTTTGATTCCCTCTACCACATGGTCTCCCTCTCTCCTATAATATTACCTTGATTTATATTATGATTGATCTTATTCTGCCAATAGGCTTTTTTTCTTGGCTTTTGTGTTTATTTCCGGTGAATTGTGTTTTTGCCTTACTTTACACATTTACAGTTTACAATTTTACATGTTTAGGGCGTGTGTTGGAGTGTGGTTTTTTGAGAGGTTTGTAGGGGAAGACTTTGGAGCGTTTATGTATATATTTCGGATTTTATATAAAGATTAACATAGGAAGCGATTGTACAATATTTCGTTAACCTTTTATTTGGTTTTAGTAATATTATTTTTATACTTTTTTTAAGATGTAGACTATTTTTCCTTCAAAACCTTCCCCTCCAAACCATCCATCCATAAAAGAATAGGATATATTCAAAGCTAGTGAAATCAGGTAGAATCTAATAAAACGTGCTTAGGATATCTTTGCAGGTTCCTCGTAGAAAATAAAACGGCTCGAGACGCGTCAGACGCTGTCTTCAAGAAAGTATTTCCGGTTTCCGGAAATCTCCCCCCAAGATATAACGAGCCCTTCGGCTAATTCTCTGGACACAGAATCTACGAGGAGATATTGAGTTTACGTGACCCAACAATGATTTTAATATATTAGAACATATGCTACGTAGTATAATGATTGGCAGAAGTATTTTTTACGTGAGTAGTGCTCTTATATTAAAGCTGAGTAAAATCTTATAGCTTCGTAAGTTTCTTTCCAACTGGAAGCACGAACAAACCTTTAAAAGTAATAGTTTGCAGTTGCTAAAAATGAAGTTGTTGAAGTCTGGTGATGATCCAAGAGCGTAGGAGGTATATGCGGACATCCATGCAAACATCCCCACATTCTCCAGCTTACTCTTTCAACTCCAACGAGTCCATTTTAAATTATATCCGGACGAAATATTCAAAAAGTTATCCGGACTATTTTATTCAAAACTTGAAATATTTATAATGGCCAAAAGATCATTTGGTGTCCCAAGTGTCCGTGTAAGCATACCATGTGCCACCAAATTCATTTTCTAATTAATTGTAACAAATTAAAATTGAATTCACCATATATTGAGTATAAATCAACCGGTTTAGGGACTATGGTAAAAAACAGCAACTTGTTTATTTGAAATATACTTAAATTTTCCAACAAAATATGCCTTAGAAATGTTATATTATGTGCTTCCCACATCGGTATAAATACGATTCTTGTTAGTACTTATATCAAAATAATAAAATCAATTGATCTCATGCATTTTGAATCAGGTGAACCGGTTGCAAAGTGAAGGTTATTATGGAGGAGTCCGATTGTTGATGGCAATTTGTAAGGTGTTTTACAATTATTGCAAGGATAATAGCATCAGTCTACATAAAGAAAATTTCAAGCTCTCGTACGATACTAACATTCCCCGGCAGGTAGTGACTGTACTAAGTCTACTATATTTTTCCTTCTTTTTTGAAAAATTATTTTATCATGTAAATGTGATTTCCTTGAACCGTCTAAGAGCTTGTTTGGGATAACTTATGGTGTTAGTGTTTTTTAAAAAACTGTGTTTTAAGTGTTTTTTCTCCCTCTAAAAAACATTTATTTGTTGAAAACCATTTAATTTATCCCAAATGCACTCTTACATTTCAAATCCCAACTTAAGAAGCCCATACTTTTTAACATTTCAGACAGGTCTTTCAGGATCTAGTGCTATTGTGTGTGCTGCCCTAAGTTGCCTCCTTGACTTTTACAATGTTAGACATCTGGTTAAAGTTGAGGTCAGACCAAACCTCATCCTCAATGCAGAGAAAGAACTTGGTATTGTAGCCGGTTTACAGGATAGGGTAGCTCAGGTCTATGGAGGTGTTGTTTATATGGTATGTGCACTACTGCCGTCTTCCTAATGGGCAAAACATAAGTTTGAAGTAAAACAATCATTTGTAACCATGCTTCGCTTTACAGGATTTTGGTAAAAAGCATATGGATGAGTTAGGTCATGGAGTGTATACACCCATGGATATCAATCTTCTCCCTCCCCTGCATCTAATCTATGCTGAGAATCCCAGTGATTCTGGAAAGGTCAGTGTTACGTTCAAACTTGTTGTGTTCGAAGATGATGAGAACGCGAAAGATCTTCCGTGTGACATTTAGGCTATGTTTGAAACTTGAAGAGTTGTAGGGAAAGGAAAACACAGTAATAAATATGAACTTTTCGTGTTTGGTTTGACCTTCAAAAAGGAATCAAATTTGAAATAAAACTTTTTTAGATGTATTTGTATTTCCTTATTTTATATAAACATTTAAATGAACGGATTGAACATATACCATATATTGATTTGTGGAGTTCACGACGTTCTTTAATTTTCCCTACATGTTCTTTCCTTCGGAGTTTCCTTCATTTTCTTCTCCTAACATTTTTTCTGAGTTCCAAAGGCAGTCTTAATTCTTGGTTGAGTTATTACTTGAGAGGCTTTTCTCTATGAGGCTAAACAACATTTGATTTTGACATTTTATGGTGATGCAGGTGCACAGTTCAGTTCGCCGGAGGTGGTTAGATGGGGATAAGTTCATAATATCTTCAATGGAAGAGGTTGCAAAAATAGCTGTGGAAGGAAGGAAAGCATTGCTTGAAAAGGACTATGCTAAGGTCGCAGAGCTCATGAACAAAAACTTTGACCTAAGAAGGTAAAGTTAATTACAGTATGTATGTAGGAAATTCTACAATTGTTATCAAGCGTTTTTCCTTTCAGTGATCAAATTATCCTACAATTTTGCTGCACTCGGAAACTAATTCATGTAGCAAGTAGGGCCAGGCATTCCTGCACTAAATTTGCAGGAAATACTGAAGTGGCTATTTTACCTTGTGTTGGCGCAGGAAAATGTTCGGGGACGAGTGTCTTGGTGAGTTGAACATAGAGATGGTCGAAGTCGTTCGAAGAGCGGGTGGGGCATCAAAATTTACAGGAAGTGGAGGTGCTGTAGTTGCATTCTGTCCAGATGGGCCAGCCCAAGTGAAGAAGCTCCAGGAGGAATGCTTGAAATCTGGTTTTATCATGCAACCCATTAAAGTCATGCCTTCATTTCTTAATGATATTGATCTTCTGACTCTGCAGTCCAAATAAGCTATCTATCCCAGATTTCTTGATTGTTTTTATCTTTTCTCCATATATTTTTTGGACTCTCAGAATAAATGGCTTGCACATCAGAGCAAGCTGAACCGTTTGTGGTTCTCCATGTGTACATTTAGTTTGAATGTTTTACAAAGCATTATTTAAGCATCACTGAGAACACAATAAATATTAAGTTGAGGTTCATATATATTGGTCAAGTTCAGGTGCAAACTGAAAAACATACAGCAAGCTAGACACTTCACTATCCCTTTCTAAAAGATTTTTTTTTTCACTCTACTTTTTACTAGATTTTCTTTTTAATTTAACTTTCAACCCTTTATTCTTTTTGTTATCTTAATTCTAACAATTGATTATTTCTGGGTGATTCCAATTATAGGGGTCATCTCTTCCAATAAGAGTCCCTACCAGCTTCCCAAGTTAACAAATGATATCTATTTATAATAATTCAAACTATGGTCGGTCCATTTTTAATAATCTAATATTATAAATTGAAAACATTGTAAATGAACCGAAAAATAGTACTCCAGCGTTATCTATTAATTTCCCTTATAATTAGAGACCACACATGAATAATCAATAGTTGACATTATTATTTTCAATTTTTCATATACTTTTTTTTCCTTTTGCATCATCGTATTTTTCTAAATAAGTTCAGAAAGGCATGGGATGGAAAGTAAGAAGAAAAAAACGAATAAAAAGAAAACAAAACTGAAATAAAAATAAATAAAATAATAGCAAGTAGGGCGTTATATAGATCTTGAATAAAAACATGGGTGAAAAGGGAAGAAAACAATGACTTTAAAGAGGAAAGAGCGAAAAAAGTAGAATAAAAAGAAAGAAAAATTGAAACAAATAAATATATAACGCTTAGGGTGAGATAAAGATCTTTAAAAAAAAGAGATATTGCCCGAAATAGAACTAAAAAGGTTTGAAAATTCCAAAACAGAACTGCCATGTTTTTGTTCTTAAAATATGACTAATTATTGTCATGTTTTGGCAATACCAGACTTCAAACATGACAGTATTTTCCAAACTTGACAGTAATTCTTCCTATTTTGGGAATAAAAAACATGTCAGTCATATTTTGGAATTATCAAACTGTTTTAGTCCTATTTCGGGAACTTTCTCTTAAAAAAATATCCAACTAGTAATAATACTTGAAAGGGAAATACAATAAAAATGAGGAAGAAGTAAAACTGTTTCCTGATAAAGCGAAAGTAAATACATAAGCATAGAAACAAAATAATACTACGTAAGAAAATAGGGGGGAAATGCCCGACACGATAAAAAAAAGGGGGAAAGGGGCAAATAAGCTCATGTATTAACAAAAAAGGCTAAATAAGTCCTTATATAGGAGGTTCTGTTTGGCCATTGCCATTTGGCGCAGTTCCCGATGTAATTTTTTGATGAAATATTTTTAGCATCTTATTCATTAAGTCTAGTTTATTCATACCAAATTTCAGCTAACAATTGAACCAGGAAGACATTCAAATGAATTCTTGAAGTTAACTGCGCATTTAATTGCGCCAGTTATCTTCAAGAATTCATTTGAATGACCTCCCGATTAAAGTTTTATCTGAAATTTTGTATGAGTAAACTAGACTTAATGAATAAGATGCTCAAAACATTTCATCAAAAAATTCCACCGAGAACCACTCCAAATGGCGACGGCCAGACAGAGCCTCCTGAATAAGGGCTTATTTGATCATTTTTTGTTAGTACGTGGGCTTATTCGCCCCTTTTCTCAAACAAAAGAGAAAACATCTTGTGAGAAAAATGAAAAGTGATATATGAGATGTTTTGAGATTATTCTGAGATTACATAAACATATGATTATTCTGAGAAGATCGATGAATGTGAGATTATTATTCTCTACTTTTTCTATAGGAAATAATGTTAAAAATGCAAGTTCAGTACAAATTCAAATTAAAATGTGAAAACATAAAATTTTAAAATCAAGAAAATGCAAAGAAATAATAATAATAAATTTTATTTTTCTAAATATTAAAAAATTTAAAAGCTAATCATCCCAGAATATTAAATTATTTTAAAATTAGTTAAAAATCAATAAAAACATGAATTTCCGAAGGAAGCCAAAAACTATTTACAAAAATCAGAAATGATTTTTTTCAGAAAATAAAATATAAGAAATGAAATGTGATATTTCTTCTTCTTATTTTTTAAAACGCCGTGGTTTCTAGAATAGGTTAACTTTACATATTATAAAATTCTAAGTTTGCAATTCAATTTAAATGAATTTTTCTATGTTTTGATAAAATAACCGAGTTGATGATTGAAATGATTAAAATAGGAATGCACATAGTTCAAATTATTTTATTTATAGAATATGCTTAATTTCTATTTAAAAGTGACTGACTATAACAAATTAAACCCGATCATGGATCATTATTGAGGCACTCGCCATATAATTGGAATGATTCAAAGATAATTCCACTAACTCTATTAAACAAAAAAAAAATTATTTGGACAAAAAAGAGACTAATTATATTTGAATCCAAAAAAATGCACCTCATACAAATCAAATTTTTAACCCTAATTTCCTAATTTCTCTTCTTAATTTCGGAGCTGTCCTTCCTTCCACCCGCTCATTTCGCTTACCGGCCGCCAGCAGCACCGACACACACGAGCCTCTCAGCTGCCAGCACCGCCGGCACGCACACACCTCCCGATAATTGACGTTGCCCGCCCTACTTGTTTGAGCCTCTTCTCGACGATAGCCATTGCCAATCCCTCAGGCTAGAGACTTCAATTCCAGTGATGGCGAGACGACGTCAAACAACAGCGGCTCGAGCTTGGTGATGGTGATGACACTGAAGTTGTTGTGTGACTCAAAATAATATTCAATATTAGCACTTATACATAGTATAGTGAGGTAAGATTTGTATCCATATGAAAATGAATATATATCTATTTTATGAAATTGTAACAACATGGGGGTTTTAAAATTGTTTCGAACTTAAGAATATTTAAACACCAAGATGAACAACTTAAGAATATTTAAACACTAACATGGAGACTTGGTTTTGCTTATTTCCACTTAGTGAAATTTTCGCCGATCCTGGTTATATCTTTAACTATTTCCTCTCGAAAACTCAATCGTTGAGTATTTCCAATTCAGTGAGGTTAGTTATTAATAACGAGACACGTTCATTAATAGAATTTAGTATCTAGTCAATATTGAAGACGCACCTTCTATTGACCTGAAAGTAACAATAAAACTTCAGATGAAATTAACTGAAATAGACAACATCAACACAAGCGTTTATTGATTTAATCAATATAAATAATCCCCTTAGATTATTAACCATGAGACACATGCATTAGTAATCTAAGGTTACTACCCCCAAACGAATAACAAGTGCATCTTTCGACTGATTCTAGTAATAATTAATATATGAAAACAAAACTAGTTGATCCTTTACGTAATCCTCATATATCAATATGAGATATAAATATGAATCCAATTAATATTCAAGAGAAAATGATTAAACAAAATAACTCACAACTTACAAAACACAAGCTTCAATGTAGCAAAGCCAAAATAGAAGAGTTTAGCTTTTCATTTGGAGACTGTTAGAAAATATAAAGAAAACAATTATCTAAATTGAGCTAAAGAGTATATGTGAATTAATGAATTTAATGTGAAGGAAAAGAGGTAAATTTATAGGTTTTTGGAGGTGACAGAGTCTGATCACGGACTAGGTATATAGGGTACCCGATGATGTATCCTCAACAATAGCCCGTAAAGTGGCTTTTCAGAACATACCCGCTTAGGTATAATCCAAATCTTCAAAAAAAAACTTACACGCTGGTTTGTTCTCCATATTTTGATTTTAACACCCGAATCAACTAAATACCCAAATGACTATTGCCTAACCCGAATGAGTATATGAACAATTTTTCAATTTTGTTTTTGTCTTTCCCCTTTTTACTTTTCCTTATCTTTTTGGGTCTAATCATAACCTTTTGGATGATCTTGCCCTATCTTGAGCTTAGAATAATCTTAATCTAAACAAATTACAACATTTAGAAAAATAAAGTAATTATATCAAAAGTGCGCAATTTCCAAAACAACAAATAATAAAACTAATTAAAAGTAGAATCATACATAATAAAAACACAACAATATCAGGCGACAAGGCTACCTAGGATTTGTGAGGTTGACTACACCTGTACTGTTCCTCGTCGCATCTGTAGCTCCCCTCCTCTACCGCCGCATCGGGTCTCGCCTCATATTCTAAAAGTTAAACTGAGTTTGAATACTAAACAAATAGTGAGTGCAAATATGAAAAATGCTTGGCGTACACTTTTTGATATATACATTTCGTACACTCGTCTGTCTCACGCACATAAAGTTGTCGCTACACAGACAACTCAGAAGGACTCTATAGAATTATCTGTGTACAGACAACTCTACATGCGTGAGACAGACAAGTGTACGAAATGTGTACACAAAAAAGTGTATACCTCACATAGGCAAATAGGTCTACAAATTTGATGCGAGTAAAAACACACGGTATATCAAATTAAAATTGAATAGAGGATATTTGAATGTCCTATTCGTTTACAAGTTAGATATTTTGCCTTTTTTGGTCCCCCGACTATTATGTCAATGACACTTTTGGTACTTAATTTCTAATTTTTTCATTTTTAATCCTCGACTATTGTACTAGAGACACTTTTAGTCTCCGACTTCAAGATTTCTCACATTTAGTCCATAAGTATTGTCAAATCGACACTTTTAGACCTCCCATTATGAATTTGACACAATAAATGGAAGATTAAAAATGTCACTATTATAATAGTTGAAGGACTAAAAGTGTCAATTTTATGAAAGTTGGAGGACTAAATATAGAAAATTACAAAGATGGGTACCAAAGGTGTCTCTAGCACAATAGTCAATAATTAAAAATGGAAAAAATTAAAATCAAATATTAAAAATGTCAATAACATAATAGTCAGAGGACTTAAAGTGGAAAAAACTCTTACATCTTACAAGGCCCCCCACCAGGCCCACGATTTACCCTACTTCTATAATTACGTACGGATTATTAGATTACATGAGCTTTTCATAACGTGGAGTGACTTATTTAGATTCATAATAAAATGATTTGTCCTAATTAATTACGGATGAATTTATATAGTGCTTGTTTCTATATCCTGGGTTATGATCTCTCTCGATCGCGCACAGAATCGTGAACTGTAAGAGGTGAGTAGATATGTATCTTCTCTTTACAAATGATTTGCCTGATTTCAATATACGCGTCTAAATTTAATTATGTGGACGATAGGGTTTGGATCCAGATTTCTTTGTGATCTCAGTCAATTTGCGTACTTCTGAAGTTGAATTCGTCATTATATGTGTGAGGATAACAATTGCTTTTGCAAATATATTTGAGGGTACTGGCTCAGTTCTAATATTTTAATTGACGGAGCCAGGGGTGGGGAGCCAGGGTAGTGACGTTTTTTGCTCATGCCCCCCAGTGCTCAATAGATATAACATAGCAGTTCATTTTTTTTTTTTTTGCATGTTTTTGTAGTTTCAGATTCTTGCATTTAGTGCAGTTTTTTTGTAGTTTTAGTTTTTCTTAGAAATTTAAATGAGGTGTGTAGGTACACTTCTGCATTTGCTGGTGCGGGTCAATGTTTGGATTTTTTTATGGTACCATACCATTGTCCACATGGACTAATAGAATGTTGCAGTTGAATTATTTAAATCTAAATTAAAAATGATAAAGTGATGTGGTCCAATCAAATGAATGGCAGGTACGGTACCCCATTTTTTAAAAGGGCACCAGAGTTGTCAACTTTTTTTATATACTTTTTCTAAGCAATTTGGTCGTGCCGTTAGTAACTTCTGCATTTTTTCTCTTTTGGCTTTGGCTTAGGGTTGTTGTTACAGGCCGGATTCCTTATTTATTCTAGGACATTGTTGTCTTTTTAAAGTTGATTTAACTCTAACTAATGAGCTGGTTAATGCTAAGGTGCATATATAAATGTTTTCAAAAACGGGGTGTGAAGTCTAATTTGCTCAATAAAATAGGGTCCAAAGCCAAATTCTCCCTTTTCACACTTAGTTGTTAACTGATAATTTAATTAAGTTTAACATATTAGATGTGATTGCATTATTTTTCTAGAAAATGTCTTCAAAAGTTATCCTAATATTGATAAAACATTCTATATTTCAGTTAATGACAAATTGTCAAATAAAATTGTGTTTATACGATGAAGAATGCTAGTTATTTTTACTTTACTACTCTCTCTATCCCGTTGGAAGGTTTCCGTAGGCAAATGACACGATTTTTTAGGTAAGTGATTAAATAAAATAATTTGGGTAAAAAAGAGAGGAAGGAAAAATTTAGAAAAAGTAAACATATAAAGTGAAAGTAATTAAAGGAGATAAGTTGGGGGAGGGGAAATTGTGAGACCTGACATGTAATGAGAAGGAAAGAGAAATTTGAGTAAAAGTGTAATTAAAGAGAGTAAATTATTTCCTAAAGTGGAACGTGAACCTTTAAATGAGACACTCAAATACGGAAAGTGGGAACCTTTAAACGGAACAGAGCGAGTAGTTGCTTATAGTTCATTTAGTGTACATGACTACATGACTATGAATAATCATACGAATATATGAATATATATGAATAATCATATGAATATATATTGTTCATCATGGGTCATCCGAAAATCATCTTTTTGTTCTTTAGTATAGGGGTAAGACTGCGTACGTCCGACCCCCTTGAGGCACTGGGGTAATTTTGTTGTTTTTGTTGTTGTATTCTTATGTTTGTTCAATAAGAAAAAAATCCCCCCTTGTAAAGAGAATTCCTCACTCTGTTCCTGAATAGATGTATTTTTTAACTCTCATTTACTCAAGGCGACTGGACTATGGCTGATATGACAATGATGAGGAGAGACAGAATCAGTGAACTCCCTGCTGAAATACTTGACAAGATCATGGGACTATTGCCTATTCAGGAAGCTGCTAGAATGGCTGTTTTATCTACCTTTTGGAAAGATATATGGTTGAATCTTACAGAGCTCAACTTTGATTTTCGCTTCAATTTACACATTCATAAGAATTCTTCATACCGTCAAAGTGATACTTGTTTATTTCCTGAGTTCTCAGTAATCAACAAAGTTCTTATGCAGCACAATGGGCACATTCACAAATTCGTCTTTGTTTCTTACTTTCATGGGGTTTCACTTAAATCATGGTCTTATCACATTGACCAATGGCTCCTTCTTGTCACTCAAAAAGGCGTTGAAGAAATATTTCTTAGTATTGACCGTGAGGTGGAATATGAATACATACTGCCGAGTTGCATATATTCTTGCCCAACACTAAAGAAGTTGTATATTTCTGGAGTCTCGATTGAACGAGTAATTGCTCCTTGCGTGATTCCAAACATCACCTCACTTTGTTTAGTAAGTGTTGCCTGTAAGCCTAATGCTCGTCAAGAAGATCTGAAGATTGATCTTCCCATGCTGGAGAATCTATCATTTATTAGATGTAAAAACATGATACATTGTAACATTGCTGCACCAGTGCTCGGTGCTTTAGCAATTAAAGGCCCAGGTTCCATATCAGTTAACTTGAACTGGAGATCTCTTCGAACTCTTGATTTAGATGCCCTTTCACTCAAGGTATGTTAGCCAGATAGACCTTTTTTGATGACTTCTACACACACACACATATCGTTGTGCTTGTTAGGAACTGATATTGCATTTCTCTTGTTTGTTTTCAAGAGTCTAGTTGAAGATTTTTGTAGAAGTCTACAGCCACCAGCTCTAAACGTGGAATTGCTGAAGTTATCAAATGTCATTACTCCAAATGATGATGTTTCTTCTGCATTCATTCATTTGCTTAAACTATGCCCAAAATTGGTCAAACTTGATATGAACATGCAGGTAATTTTTATTCTTTTCCTACTTAAATTATGAATCCACAAATATTCTAGATGTTTCCGTCGTTATTATCTTGCACGCATATGTGATTTGAGTTTTTGGCTGATTTGAGGATTATTTTTCTTGTTGATTTTCTGAAGTTTCTGGAAGGTTTAAGAAATTGCTTAGAGTCAGGTTCAGAACTATCAATGGAACTCTATGACGTTGCTCAAACACGCAACTTGCTTCACAGTTTGAGTCTTGAATTTGATGAATGTGAGAGTTGTATGCCCTTGGTAAAGGGGCTGCTTGCCTCCTTTCCAACACTTGAGAAGTTCATCGTGTCTGACCTCAATTCTGGTTTTAAGCAGAAGATTTTGGAATTTCCTCGCGCCTCCACAAAAGTTGAGTTAGTTCTTTCCCACACTTGAGAAGATGGGGAATCTAAAAGTATTGAGAAAATTCTGTAATTTCAACAGGCCTCCCCAAAAGTTGAAATATCTTTCATTTAAAGTTGCATTGTGCTCACTGCTCTTGCTAGTGCACTTCACAGTATTGTTCCATATTCATCTTTTGTTTAAGTCTTCTATGCTTAACAGAAAAAACCGAGTTTATAGTCTTTTTTGCTATGATTGATGTTTGTAGCCGCAACAAGGCATATGCAGTTTTGCACAACTATTCATGAGGTTTACTTCTAGATTTAACCTTGGTATGAGATAGATTCACATAAGAACATGGAGTACCAGCATTTCTGCTTTTGTCCAATAGAGGGCAAATGCACGGTGCACCAAGATTCCAATTCCAAAGAACGATCAGTTCAATGTGATCTAAAGCTTTAATATTGCACAATGTGGGATGGATTCCAAGCAATGAAGCAATCATACATTTATACATGCTTTGTAAGTATAAGGAGCAACGTCAAATGAATAAATTACAAACAAAATAATTTAAACTAGTCCTAGACTCGGGCCGGGTGGCTCGACCCGGAATCGGCCCGGGACCGGTACTGTGCTGAACCGGCCCGCTACTGTGCGGGCCCGGACTGGCCCGGTCACCCGGTTCTTAACCGGTTCGGGCCACCCGGCCCGGTGGTATAGCGGTCCGGGCCCGGGCCTCCATTTTAGGGAACCGGCCCGGCCGGGCCGGGCCCGGTTCGGGCCTCCAACGGCCAAATTTTTAATTTTTTTTTTATTTGAATAGGCTCCTAGCCGTTGGGAAGGCTCCCAAACGGCTCTAAAGTAAAAAAAGTAGTTAATTGTTAAATTTGTCATATTAATATTAGTTAAACTACCTAATTGTTACATTTCTCATATTAATATTAGTTAATTTGTACATTGCTCATTAAAGTAAAAAAAAAACTAGTTAATCTTTACATTTCTCATATTTATATTAGTCAAACTAGTTAATATTTAGTTAATTGATACATTTCTCATTAAAGTAATAATTAGAAGTAGTTCGATTTTTATACTCATATTTTAGTTCGAATTTGCAATAGTTTTCTTAGTCACATTTTATTATTGCTATTGTACTCATATAAAATATTTGATATCATTTAATATTTGTTCAATTTTAAAGATGGAACGTGGTAGACATTCTGTAGATGTGGGTAATCTCCAACGCAACCGCAAGAGGGAGATTGCGTCGACTCGTCCTACTTCACGCAAAGGCAAAGGTAAAGCGCGGGCCGAGTCTTCTTTTCAAAGTCGAGATGATTTTGAAACGGATTACCAACGGAGAGATGATATGATGATGTCCGACGAGCATCTACAAAACCTATTGTCCCAAAATGATCCACGCTTTGCACAAGAACAACCCATCCCGACAACCATTGATGAAGAGGAGCTCGAGGATGACGATGCGGAGGAGGACGCGGGGGGCGACGGGACTCACGGCACCCCGGATGATGAGCAAGACTTGGAGGACGAGGGCGGTTCAACCCAAACTGGTAAGAAATCTAAATCTCCTATTATTGAAAACAATTTTACAAAAAGGAAAGACAAAAATACCGAAAAATGGTACGCAAGTTGCAATCATTGCGGCAAAGAGTATAGCTTGGGAACTTCTGGCGGATACGGGAGTCTCACAAGGCATCTTAAGTCCGCCCATCTTGTGGAGTATGCGAAAATAGACAAGGGCAAGGGGAAGCAAACACAAATATCGAGGTTTGCAAATTCTCAACCCTTTGGTAATTTCTCCTATGATGATCAAAAACATTTGACTGGTATGTCTCATTTAATTGTTGAAGAAAATTTACCCTATATTTTTTCCGAAAGTCTTGCTTTAAGAGATTATGCTCAAGGCACTTGAAATCCTCAATTTAGAAATTATAGTCGCAAAACGATTAAAAAAGAAGTTATAAGGCAATATAACTTCGAAAAAGAAAATTTGCAAACATTTTTCGCAAACTTTAATGGACGTGTTAGTATTTGTAGCGATATATGGGAGGATACTTATCATCATTTATATTATTTGGGTCTTACTGCACATTATATTGATGATGATTGGAATATGCATAAACGTGTTCTTGCATTTCGTGAATTCAATGATCGTCATACTGCTGATAATATTTATATTCTCATTGAGCGTATTTTAATTGAGTATAATTTGCTTGATAAGGTGTTTGCTGTAGGTTTTGATAATACTAGTAATAATACTGCTGCTATACCTAGATTGCGTGAATTGTGTGGTGCTTCTACATTGATGGGTAGGTTTTTTCATCAACGTTGTGCATGTCATATTCTAAATTTGTGTGTACAAGATGGATTAGCGGCATTAGAAAATGCTTTGGAGGTAGTGAAGGGGGGAATTAAATTGATTTGGGCTAACACTCCACTAAAAATGCAATGGCGGCAATATTTGAAGGAAAGACGTGTCAATTATTGTGCTTTTCCTAAAGATTTGTCTATTCGTTGGAATAGTACTTATAACTTAATTCAAGTACTTATTAGATATAAAGAACATTTTCCTGCTTTTTTAAGACAAACTTGTAACTATATTATAAACCCGGCTGACATCGACACTTGTGAAAAAATTGTTAATGTTTTGGTATATTTTAATAACGCAACTCAAACTTTTAGTCATGTTTATAAACCTACCGCAAACGAATTTTTTGTTGAAGTTGTTAATCTCGCCGGCGCATTTTTGGAATTTTCCGATGCCGCTTACGTTAGTTATTTTTGTGATTTCATGAAACAAAAATTTTTAAAATATTATTCACATGTTCCGCATATATATGGTATTGCATTTGTTCTTGATCCTCGTTATAGACTTGCCGCGTTGCCAAGTTGTATAGATTACTATTATAATTGTTTTTTTCCAACTCAAGAGTTCGATGATAATCCCATCGACCCTAAACAAGAATACAACGAGGTTAGTAATTTATTATAATTATATAGTATATAATATAAAAAAAAAATTAAAAGGACCGGCCCGAACCGGGCCCGGCCCGAACCGGACCCGGGTTTACCCGGGCCGGTTCCGGGCCTCCCAAACCGTGAACCGAGGCCCGGCCGGTTCACGGCCCGAACCGGGCCCGGCCCGAACCGAGTCCATCCCTACGGCCCGGGCCCAGGCCGAATTGATTTTTTTTTTTTCATTTTTTTTTTCATTTTTTGGGGTTAGCCGGGTTGGGCTTGATGGTTAGGAGGGGTTTGGGGGATTGGGGGGGTGAGGGGGACATTTTTTGGGGTTAGCCGGCCGGGCCTCGGTTCAGAAAAATGAGGCCCGAGCTCGAACCGGTGGTGGGCGGTTCCGGGTCCGGTTCCGGGCCACCCGGATTTTTAATTTTTTTTCTTCTTCTCTTATTTAACCCCCTACCCCTCCACCCCAAACCATCCCAAACCACCTCAAATGGCCCAAAATACCTAATCCAACCCACAATTTTAAAAAATTTCAAAAAATAAATAAATAAATAAATTCCGGCCCGAACCGGCCGGGCCGGTTCACCAAAACATAGGCCCAAGCCTGAACCGCCCAAAGGCCTGGCCGGTTCGACCCGAACCGCTGGGCCCATCGGTTCCCGGGCCGGGCCGGGCTCAACAGTAACCGGGCCGGGCCGGGCTCAACAGTAACCGGGCCGGGCCGGTTCCGAGTCGGGCCGCCCGCCCGAGTCCATCCCTAGGGGGGGTTAGGAAAGCAAAAAAAAAATATGACCGAACCGGAGGCCCGGCCCGGCCCAGACCTGGACCGGATTCGGTGGCTACCCGGGCCAGTCCCGGGCCTTCCTTCCCAAAAAAAAAGCTCGGTCGGGTCCGGCCCGGGTCCATGACTGGCCCGGACCCAGACTGGACCCGATGGCTACCTGGGCCGGTCTCGGTCCCAGGCCCACCTATTCAGAACCGGCGACCCGCCCGGGCCTAGGCCCGGCCCGGACCTGACCTGGCCCGAGTCCAGGACTAATTTAAACCATCTATGCCTTCTCATTTTGGACATGTTAATTTACTTTAATTTACATGCTAGAGAGTAGAGAGTAGGGGTAAGAGTACGTGTTAGGGTACGGGCCAAAGGTTTGGCAGGGGTGGGGGTAGGGCCGTGGGGTAAAGCGTAAAGGTACGGGGTATGAGTATGGGGACAAGTGGGGTTATGAGGACGGGTAGGGGTTGGGGGTAGCCCCCGACGTATTATATATATATAGAGGACTTTTCATGTCCAGCCGGCCTGACGAGAACTTCCGTCCGGCCGAGGGCATTTCGGGCACTTCCCGGTGGAATTGTTTGATGAAATTTTTTGGGCATGTTTTTCATCAAGTCTAGTTTATACATACCAAATTTCAGCTCAAAATTCGATCGGGAAGGCATTCAAATAAGTTTTTGAAGTTGACTGGGTTTTTATAGGTATACTTTGACGCAGTCAACTTCAAAAAATTATTTGAATGCCTTCCCGATCGAATTTTGATCTGAAATTTGGTATGGATAAACTAGACTTCTGGAAGAACATGCTCAAAACATTTCATCAAAAAATTCGATCAGGAAGTGCCCAAAATGTCCTCGGCCGGACGGCGGTTCCCGTCAGGCCGGCTGGACAAGAAAAGGACTATATATATGTATATGTATATATATGTGTGTGTGTGTGTGTGTGTGTGTGTGTGTGTGTATGAGGGTCCTTTAAGTCCTTTTTTTTTATATTGGATAAAGAAAACACGATCTCTTTCCATAACTTGCTTTTCAATGTTATTTCCTTCTTCGACACTCAAGCTTTATTCATTTCCATATGAGAAGTTAATTTCTTCTTCATGATAGCTAGAAATTTCCTGGGCATATCTTCTTCTCAACCCTACTTTCGTGATTTCTTTTTTCTTTTTATTTATCTCTATCTCCATCCCCAAGATATCTAGCATGTCGAAAAATCTTTTTTGTTCTTTGTGATATTTATTATATTTAAAGTTTATTATGAGATTTATTATGTTTAAAGTTTTAATTTTTTCCTTTATTAAATTCGTGTTTAATAATGTATTCATAATTTTTTCCTTTATTTGTAAAAATGTATTTATAATGCAGGGTATTTTGGGGATGAGATGAATTTTACAAAAATTATCCTAATGGGGTTAGTTACTTACAAAAATACCAAGAAGTAGTTTGAAGTTAGTATATACCCGATTCCAACTTTTAGTTTTAAAGTGCTTTTTTAAAGTAAAAGCAGTTGCAAACATCATTTTCAAATTTTTAAAATTAAAAGCTCGAGAAGTGGTTTTTTAAGTGATAGCAAACACTCCCTAAAACACTGCCTAAGTCAATTCAATACTAAGTATTGCACATTCAAAAATATGAAGAGATTAAGTACTCTCATAATTACCAATCCAATTTTAAATGGTATACTCTCTCCCATGAAATTTCTAGCTCACATACCAATCCACATGGAAATGAATAAAGCTTGAGTGCCGAAGAAGGAAGAAAGGAAATAACATTGAAAAACAAGTTATGGAAAGAGATCGTGTTTTCTTTATCCAATATAAAAACAAAAGGACTTAAAGGACCCTACTTTCGTGATCAAAAGGACTTAAAGGACTTAAAGTAGGGTTGAGAAGTTAATTTCTTCTTCATGATAGCTAGAAATTTCCTGGGCATATCTTCTTCTCAACCCTAATTTCGTGATTTCTTTTTTCTTTTTATTTATCTCTATCTTCATCCCCAAGATATCTAGCATGTCAAGGCATATGCAGTTTTGCACTACTATTCATGAGGTTTACTTCTTAGTTTAACCTTGGTATGAGATAGATTCACATAAGAACATGGAGTACTAGCATTTCTGCTTTTGTCCAATAGAGGGCAAATGCACGGTGCACCAAGATTCCAATTCCAAAGAACGATCAGTTCAATGAGATCTAAAGCTTTAATATTGCACAATGCGGGATGGATTCCAAGCAATCATACATTTATACATGCTTTGTAAGTATGAGTAACGTCAAATGAATAAATTACAAACACAATAATTTAAACTAGTCCTGGACTCGGGCCGGGTGGCCCGACCCGGAACCGGCCTGGGATCGGTACTGTGCTGAACCGGCCCGACCCGGTGGCCCGGCCAGTGACCGGTCCGGGTAAGCCCGGCCCTGGGGGGTTCCCGGTGCGGGCTCGGGTCACCCAAAAGCCGAACCGGCTCGGCCGGTTCGAGCTGGGTCCCGGGCTTTTTATTTTATTTTTTCTTTCAATTTTTTATACTTTTTGGGATTGGCTGGGTATTTTGGGCCATTTGGGGTGGTTTGGGAGGTTGGGGGTGGGAGTTAGGATGTTTTCTTTTGGACTGTTTTCAGTCCCAGACCAGACCAGACCAGACTTAAACAGACCAGACCAGACCAGACCAGACTTAAACAGACCAGACCAGACCAGACCAGACTTAAACAGACCAGACCAGACCAGACCAGACTTCCGTAGTTATAAAATACACAGAGACCAGACGTTTACCAGACCAGACCAGACCAGTTCAGACCAGACCAGACCAGACCAGACTTAAACAGACCAGACCAGACCAGACCAGACTTAAACAGACCAGACCAGACCAGACCAGCAAATTTCAGTCCAAAAGAAAACATCCTTAATTAGGAAAAGGAAAAAAAAAATTGACCCGAGGCCCAGTCCAGACCCAGACCGAACCCGGGCCCACGTATTCAGAACCGGCGACCCGCCTGGGCCTAGGCCCGGCCCGGACCTGACCCGGCCCGAGTCCAGGACTAATTTAAACCATCTATGCCTACTCATTTCGGACATGTTAAGTTTAGGGGTGGGCGCGGTCCGGAACGGTCCGGTAAATTAGTAAAACCCGTAATGTATCCGTGAGGTTTCTAACGGTCCGGTACGGTCCGGTTCTAAGGATGGAACCATTCGGTACCATGTTGTTCAGGAACGGTATAAAAACGGTACGGTACAATGTCAAACACGTGCTAAAAAAGTTGAAAACATTTTGCAATCAGTAGATATCATCACACCAACCAATTCACATAAAATGTTACAAGAAATTGCTTACGTAGTACTAGAATTCTACAATTCACAAATAATGCAGCACAACTAAAAAAAGTATAGCAAAATGACGATAAACGAGATACATATCATCTTTAATTTACAAAGTTCATTTGAAAATATAAAAATAAAATCATCAAATTAATGAATATAACAGAAAAAATCAATGTTCTTCATTGTTCTAGGTTAAGTATTAGTTCTAATTAAATTAATAGTTGAACCGATGGAGCTAAGATTTAAACCATATTAATTAAGTTGTAAAATTGCACAAACGTGATACAACAAAAAGTTGTATACACTACATTACTAGAAATGAATAGTTATTAAAGATTTCTAAAACTTTAACATTCTTTTAATACATACCAAAATATAATATAAATTATCTAAAACGAAAAAATAACAATATATATATATATATATATATAAACATTTAGCTATTTTAGGGACGCGTGAATCATACTTGAGCTATAAAATTGTTGGTCTATAAAATAGATTTATTGGTATGAGGAAAATATAAAAAATTTCAATGCATTATTTTTGAACGGTCCGGTTCAATATTTTTCGGTACTCAAATTCTAGGACCGGTCCCGTACCCGTTTCAAACGGTACGGTTTCGGTTCGGCATAAAAATTTATAGAACCGTTTGAATACCCGGTATTCGGTTCGGTACCATTACGGGTCGGTTCGGTACCGGTTCGGTTCGGGTTTTATGCCCACCCCTAGTTAATTTACTTTATCTTTACATGCTAGAGAGTAGAGAGTAGGGGTAAGGGTACGGGTTAGGGTACAGGCCAAAGGTCGGGTAGGGGTGGGGGTAAGGCCGTAGCCCGTAGGGGTAGGGCTGTAGGGGTATGAGTATGGGATATGTAGGTGGTGAGGGTAGGGGTAAGGGTATGTAGGGGGTAGGAGTATGGGGACGAGTGGGGTTATGAGGACGGGTAGGGGTTGGGGGTAGCCCCCACGCATGATAGGGCAGTGCTTGCTCTGTCATAAACAAAGTAGAGTTTTAAATTGCTTGTTTTCAGCAAAAAACTTCTTTTGCAGCAACTTGATCATTTCTTTTAAGTCTGAGTTTGATAGTTGATGTAAACTTGGTGTTTGGGAATTCTTTTTCCTGTCACCCCTCTCGATGCCATCCATCAATCATGGGACACACGGAACACTCTGATGATGTCTTGGCATTTATACTTAAGGAGTTACGGGTAACTTTCTCGAGTATGAAGTTGAGGTTGGATATGTACCTTTTCGTTGCAAAAAAAAAAAAGTTCATGTGAGAACTTAATCTTAGGAGAGTAAAAAAGAATCAATGTCATCCGTTAGATCTTGATTTATATTATTATTTCGGCACTTTCTCATTAAGGGTAAATATGATATTTTCATATCACATTAAAGCCATTCGATTGTTTCCATAACTATAAGATACTCAATACTCCGTATCTTTCTCTTCCATAGAAGTTATAACTGTGTCCATAATTATCTCCTTACAATATACCAAGTATAATCATTGTATAACTATTCATATGATTTTTTAAGGTTCTTGACATGCTCATTCATCCTTCTCAATAGCTCTATCCCTTCATAGGGAGTCAAACGGATGAAGCTTCAAGAAAGGCTTTACAACCAATCCGGAAACAGACCGCCGAACTCCACCGTGGACCCATGTTATGCCGCTCAGCTACGCTCAAAGTGCCCCATCTCTGGCGGAAACGATAATTAACCTCTTCTTCTTGGGCTATGTCAACCCAACTAGAAATTAAGTTTGACAACTTATACTTCAAGCACTCGTTCTAGCCAACTAGAAAGGACTTCTCAACTCCGGCCAAGTTCTAGCCACCGAGAACAATGGAGTGTCTTTGCAACTAGCTAGTTAAAGTGTATTTGAATTCATCACACGATGAATTCATTTAATCTTTATAATTAATCCTATTTTTTAATTAATGACGCACTTTATCATACTCTAGTCTGCTATTTCACTATTCTTTTCGAAAAAATGGTCTGCACTTTTATTAGTTTATTTTTTTTTTTTTTACTATTTTCCATATACGATGATGTGTCAATGGAACTATCATAATCCATTGGAAGAAAATGTGCATTGAATTTTGTAAAAAGTGTCGTTGTAAAATTGTAGAAAGTGTGGTGAAATAGTGCACTTTTGTATGTAATTCAAATACACGTGATAAAATTAAAATTGTGTTTCATTTAATCCCACATGCTGCATTTACAATCGTTAGTAGTGCAACATTTTGCATATCGTAGTGCATTATATTTTATACCAAAATGTAAATGAAAATTTGTATAACACAATCAACGAAAGTGCATATCATTCTACAATAAAAAGTCAAAGTTAAAATAGAGAACATGTGATATAGTGGTGCACATTTGTATGTATTTAGAATGGACATGATAAAAGTGCAGTTCATTTTTTTTTAAAAGATGCCAATGTATAACTTAAAAAATTATCATATAATAGTGCACTTTGTATGTATTTAAAGTGCACAAGAATGAATTAGTTGACGCCGTTTGTATCTTTATTTTCCTTTTATTTAAAATCACTTGATAAAAATAATGTATAAAAGTGTACAATAACATGTGTAAAGTGTAGGATAATATTATAGAAAGTGCCGACTAATGACATAAATGTGCAATTTGCAAAAGTGCAAATTATTATAATATAAAATTATTTTATCTTCAGAATGTTACTATCCATTCATGAGTGGTATTGATTATTTAAATAAATATATATGCAAAAAAATCAAATATTTAATTAAATAAATGTTGCATTCAGTTTTGAGTAAAAAGTGCATGTATTCAACGAATAGGTGCAAATTAACGAACCTATATTGATTCTATATATTGATGAGTATTGTGTCTCGATAGAAAAAGGTTAATCACAAAAAATAATTCTAGATTGCATATAGATTTTTCCAAATAAAATATCCGAATGATTTGAAAGAAAATTTAACATTAAAAGAAAATTAAATAATATGATTAGAGAAATTAGGAGTTACGTATTCTTATTAATGAATAGCCTAAAAAATAGGATGCCTTCTTATAATGTTGGGTCGTGCATGATAATCACCTAAATCACTTTACCATTGTGCCCTTTTGCAAATGTAAAAATGTACGTTTCCTTATATACGAGTTGAATCATCCGCAATTAATGCATCATTTCCTTCTTTTTCGAATATTTCTAGACCATTGGATTGAGATGATTGAAGGTTCGATTTTAATCTTTGTTACTCTCCTAAGAGGGTGTTCTCACAGGTACTAACCCCTATATATATATATATATATATATATATATATATAGAGAGAGAGAGAGAGAGAGAGAGAGAGAGAGATGATCTTGTCCATCAGCCCCCGGTCCAAACGCTGTCCGAACATGGCCATTTAGGGCACTTCCCGGTGGAATTTTTTGATGAAATGTTTTGAGCATGTTCTTCATCAAGTCTAGTTTACCCATACCAAATTTTAGCTCAAAATTCGGTCTAGAAGGCATTCAAATCATTTTTTGAAGTTGACTACGTGAAAATATACATATTAAAATGCAGTCAACTTCAAAAAATGATTTGAATGCCTTCCGGATCGAATTTTGAGCTGAAATTTTTTATGGACAATCTAGACTTGATTAAGAACATGCTAAAAAAATTCATCAAAAAATTCCACCAGGAAGTGCCCCAAACGTCCATGTTCGGACGGTGCTCGGACGGGGGATGTACGGACGGTGCTCGGACGGGGGATGTTCGGACCTGAACATTTATGTGTGTGTGTGTGTATGTATGTATGTATGTATACATGTATGTATGCATGCATGCATGCATGCATGTATGTATGTAGGGTAGAGATCACATAAAAACACCCTCTAACATGAAAAATAAGAAGAAATCGTGGACATAGATGTGAAGCAATCGTACAGCATGCATAAAATTTGCTTCGGTGATGTGGTGCGTTTAATGTGAGCAGATTATTGCCTTGATTACAAAATTCAGAAGAGACGTAATATGAAGGGTGTAACTGTCTTTTCCTTTTCTTACCAATTTAAAAAGCATAGAACTTGATCTTAATAAAAAAAATACACTGATAGTTCATGTTTCCCATCTCCAATTAATTGTCACTAGCTTGGAAAGTGTAGAGGGTTGCGCTTGTCTACACATATGGCTTACATGTGGACAATAAAAGACAAAAAGTGTTAAAATGGACACGTTATGGGTATGTTGATTGTGGAATATCATTAGTGGATTGATAGATGCAATAAGTGTAGATAAAATAATATATTAGTTTAAAAGTGCAGATTGGTGATTTAATTAACTTATTATGAAAGTGAAATTTTAATTTCCCTAATATTGCAGATTTTGGTGATTAAACTAATAGTAGATTTTGGATGTAATGTTTGTGGTAATTGTGCATTGAGCCAGTTAAAAAGTACACATCGTAAAGTTTAACGATGTAGTGTAAAATATTGATTGTAGTTTAGGGAAGACATATAATGTGAAAAAATGAATATTAAAAGTGAAAAAGTTGTGCTAAGTATTTATGTGTGTGATTGTTGAGTTTGGCCGTGCACATACATCTAATCACACATCAACTATAAATAAAAATGGAAAGTGAGTAATAACTTATGGGAATAAATGTATACTTACCAATTTGAAAGTTGTGGAAAACGGAAGGGAATAATCGGATAGACAAGATTACCCCTTTCGTAGCTTAAAAAATCAGGACCATGCTTTTTCATTAATGAAGAATCTTAGGGATGAGATTACTTCTTACTTTTCATGGGAAGGGTGTTTTTACATGATCCAAAATTTATACACACACATCACAAATATTCCTGTCCGGCCAGGGGTGGTCTGGCCACCTCAATTTGATGTGGTTCACAGTGGTATTTTTTGCTCAAATTTTTTGTGTACGTTCCTCATCAAGTATAGTTCATTCATACCAAATTTGAGCAAAAAAATCAATCGGGAAGGCCGTCAAATGATTTTCTGAAAGATAACTGCGGTTTATATGCATATTCACCTAGACAGCAAACCAATTAGTCGGAGCGCCTAAACGAAAATCGGGGTGACCGACCACTGCCTAGCGCCTAGGTGGGGACTAGTCAGGCGCTTAGAACGATATTTAGAACAAAGATTGTTTCTATTAGTTAAACTTCGCAGTTCTCAGCCTAAAACACATTTCCACGTGATCTTTTTCCTACACACACACAAATATGTATTTGTGTATACATGAATGTGTGTCTAATGTCTATAAATGTATAAGATTATTTTAGACATTTTAATGTTAAAAAGTGTTTTAAATTATGTGAAGTTAACATAAGCTTATAACACTGCTTATTTAATGCATCTTTTACTAACACAAGTCTTAATAAACAACATTTAATAATCTAATGTAATAGAGCGACAGGAGGATGAAAACCTAGAGAGCTGGCGGCGACTTTTTGATCTCTATCTGTATGACGGACAAGACTTCGGCGATGCCTTCTCCGCCAACTGGGCGTGTATGGGGTGGAAAAACCTTTGCTTCGGTGGTGGCTGATACTGATCCTCCTCTATCGAAGAAAACGGCTGGCAGATTCAAAGGGATGCCGTCCATTTCCTTCCCTGATGAGGAAATCCAACTTCTGGCGGCTAAGCATAAATTATCCCTCGTTGGATATTTCTTTAAAGATCGGCCTTCTATGACATCCCTACGTAAGGCTTTTGATCTAATTGGTTTTAAAGGCACCGTTCACCTTGGTTTATTGGATCGTAAGCATTTGCTAATTCGCTTTGAGGTGGAAGAAGATTATATTAGATGCTGGATTCGGCAGGTTTGGGATATCTTTGGTAGCACGATGCGTGTTACCAAATGGACACCTGATTTCAAACCAAATGTGGAATCTCCTATTGTTCCAATTTGGTTGACTTTTGAAGGTCTGTCTATTCATCTCCATGATAGGAGAGCACTATTTGACATTGCAGGGCTGATTGGCACCCCGCTGAAGATTGATATTGCTACGGCTACCCTAGCAAGACCCTCTCTAGCTAGGGTTTATGTTGAGATTGATTTGACAAAAGAAATGCCTAGTAAGCTATGGATTAATTGTGGGGCCACTGGTTTTACTCAACCTGTGCTCTATGAAAACAAACCCCAATATTGTTCTCATTGTCTTCATCTAGGCCATTCTGTAGCTGGTTGTCCTATGAAAAGCAAAACATTACAGAAAGCCAAAGGCTCCTATATGGAACAGGTCCCTGTGAAGGATAAGAATGGGAACAAGGTCTTAGAAAAGATTGCAGGAAATAAGGCTCCTGAAAAGTGGGTGCCTAATCATAATCTACCTAATCCACAACCTGTTTTACTAGCTATTACAGACAAATCCTCAAGGGAACAAGAGGTGATCAATGCAAAAGGAAAAAATAAAGTTTCTGAGTTTTGTGTTGCCTCTTCCTCTAAGCATCCTATTGTTGAGAGAGCTATTGTTGATTCTGAGTCGGACATTGAAGAGGTCTTCACTGAGCAGGCCCCATTGAAGGATGATGCTATCCCTGCAACACATGGAACAACTCAAAAGTTAGATGAAGATGCTCTTCATGGAATTCAACTGAATTCTAGATTACCAATTAATGAGAAAGTCTTGGATGATTACAACCTTTTAAAACTCATCCAGAGGAACTCTTATGACACAACATTGTGTGCAAAAGGATACTCATCAGATGGAGATTTCTGCTTTTTAGAAAATTTGGACACATGGAAGAAAGGTCAATCTGCTCTTTCAAAAAAAGTGGCAAAAGTGATTAATAAAGTCAGGCATCCCAAGTCTGATTCTATTGAAGACTTATTAGCTGGATTGAATAACAACATTGATTCGGATGGTTTTATCACAGTCACTAGAAGAAAGAAAAAACAACCTGCACAACAGAGTCCTACATCACCTAGACTTACAAGAGCTGCTGCAAAGAAGCTCTCTCAAACTTTTTCCCAATGTTTGTGATGAATTGTCTACTTTGGAATGTTCGTGGCCTTGTTTCTTCCTGTCCAAGGCTACGGGATCTAATTAGACAGTGGCACA